CCCTGGTCCACATTGCGCCACCTCCTCCAGGAAGCCTTCCGGGCTTGGCTGAGCCAGGCCTGGGGTAAGTCACCACCAGATGTCCCACTCCGATGAGGAGACAGGGCTTCCCTTATGCACCTGAGCCCAGTGTCCAGTAGAGCACAAGTGCTGGGTGCTCAGTTTCTGGACTCAGTCGGCTTCCTCGGGGGAGCTGCGAGCCCCATGCCTAGGAGGTTTGTGGAGTTTACAGTTCTGAGGGCTGGTCCCACTCCCTCTTCCATCTGTTAATCTTCTCATCGGCCCTCACTACCAGCTCTCCCTGTCCTCAGTGACCTCTTGGCACAGGGACCTCCTCTACTTTTCTCCTAGTTTCTGGGTCACTAAGTGTCCCTGATGTGCTTCTTTAGCTGAGACCCACTGCTGTGAGGAATGCGTTGGTCCTCACTCTTGCCCATCAGTGACCAGGCCCGGTGCCCTGAACCCCCGCAACAGGGCCAGGCGCTGCGCCTCCTGCCGCCGTGCGCCGTGCGCCGCCTCATTCCAGACAAAGCAGCATCTATTTTGTAAACGACGAACATTTGTGTTTATGGAGCCCTGGCGTGACTTTGACACGCATGGTGATGATTCAAGGGGGACGTGGGAGAGCGACAAGCCCATAAACGGGAACCCGCTGAATGAAACTCTCTGTTACCGAGATTTACGTGGACCCTGAAATATTGAAGATGGATTTTTGAAAACATCTATAAAATAAGAGATTTATACCTAAAACAATACCGTGCACTGCGACGGGAAGGGATTAGAGTCAATTTATTCATGTATTAGTAAAAACTCAATTTCATATATTGTGCAGAAAAATTAAAACCCTTTCTACATTTTATTATTACAAATTATGCACCTTCCACATATAAAGATAAATAATTGATAACATTACAAATACTTAATCTAGAAAATATTTATTAGGAGCAGACAACCCATTTTTTTTACGTGTTTTGTTGAGGACAATATTGCGCACTTTAAAAATTCATGACGACTCTTTGCAAGAAGAAAATGTCTACACCCGAATTCTTTTGTTTGGCATCACATCTGAGTCAAGGAAACAGAGCTGGGCAGTAGGACTCGGGGTGCGGCCGGGATGTCCCTGCCCTGGACCCAAGCTGAGGACTGGCCGAGGGTCTCAGGCGTCCCCCAACTGGGCCAGCCTCTGGCCTCCAGTCCGAGAAGGTGCGTTCGGAAAGTCAACATATTGCCAACATATTACCAGCCAGGACTCCTTGGCTTGTGATTTAAAAATAAATGTTTGACTTAATCTCTGAGAAAACACCAAATAATGGGATTTGAGGATGGACTCACAGAGCCAAGAAATCAACGCAGCCAGACCTCAGCCCAGAAAATGACAGAGCTGAATGATCCGGGCCCCTCGCTGGGGTCCCAGGCTTGGTGTGTGAAGGAAGGCGGGTCTCATGGGTGGCATGAAGTGGGGAGCTCGCCTGGGGCCAGTGGCCTTGCACCCCACAGCTGGCTTAGCCTGCCCTTCCAGGATGGGTGACCCCCAATCCCTCCCCGGCTCCTCCCTTGCAAAGAGGACTCCCAGCCTTTGCCTGGAGCCCACCTCCCCCTGGGCTCCTCCCCACTCCATCTCAGAGCTGGCACCACCTGCCCACTCCCCCATCCCAGGCCTGCGTGGGGAGATGAGAGGAACCAGCCGGGTTCTCAGGACCTGTGTCCCAGCGCTACAGCTGGAGCTGCTGGCCAGGCCTCCCCTGTGACCTCTCCCCTCTGCCCTTTGCCCTGCGGTGCACGCAGTCGGCTGGGCTGGCACGCGCGTTGGAGGCTAATAGTGGCGCCCTAGCAAGTCCTCATTGTCCCCGTGCAGTCCACCCCAGGGAGCACTAGAGTGTGAATAAATAACTGCTATGTTTATTAAAAAATAAATTTGGTGCCTAACAAAAGTGCTGTTTCTATACATAGAAAAAAACCGTTTAAAATAAAAACCAAAACAGTTTCCGAGGCGCTGTCGTATTAATTATTCATCTCTTGTTAATGAAATAACATGCCTTTGCAGGCTGCTCGGCCTCCCCTTCCCCCAGGGGCTCCTGGGTAAGCCTGGTCCGAGGCGGGTGAGATAGACCCCGAGGGGCCAGGACGGGTGGCTCTGAGCCTCAGTTTCCCTAGTGTAAAATGGGGGAGTCATAGTATTCCCTCATGGCTGTGTAGCGAACACCTATTCCCCACTTCACAGCCCCTATGAGACCCGCCTTCCTCCACACACCAAGCCTGGGACCTGGGCAAGGGCCCCCGGATCGTTCAGCTCTGTGGTTTTCTGGGCTGAGGTCTGGCTGCGTTGATTTCTTGGCTCTGTGAGTCCATCCTCAAATCCCATTATTTGGTGTTTTCTCAGATATTAAGTCAAACATTTACTTTTAAATTGCAACAAGCCAAAGAGAGTGTGGACAGCAGAAGAAAAACAATATGTTGATTCTCCTGTGTGCCAGGCACTAGCTGCTTTAGGACTCAGGACCCAGAGGAGGACGAAGGAGACAGCCTGACCTGGAGGAGTGAGCAGTGAGTTCACAGTCAGGCCCAGGCAGCAGGTGTCTGATCCAGTTTCTGTGTCCAGTGAGGAACCAGCCTGGTGGCTGACCCCTGTATCAGTCAGGGTGGGTGGATTATGCTGATGTAACAAATAGCCCTAAACCTTAAAGCAACAGTGGAGGATTTTCTGCTCACACTAAATGTTGCCTTGGGTTGGCAGGAAGCCGTATTCTAAATCATCCCACTACCCAGGCTGACAGGCAGCCACCAGCTGGGGCATCGCTGGATTCAGGGCAGAGGGAGAAAGGGACCCTGCAGGCCTCCCCCCAATCCCAGACATGTCCTGCCCTGCTCCTGCCCACAGCCCATTGCTCAGTACTGGCTACATGGATGCCAGGACTGGCCACCTGGGCCTGACAGGGTTAGTGGGAAATGCTTGGGGAGTAGTAGCAACAGAAACTTCCACCTCGGCCTCTACCCCCACCTTCTGGGCCTGACAGGGTTAGTGGGAAATGCTTGGGGAATAGCAACAGAAACTTCCACCTCGGCCTCTACCCCCACCCGGGGCAGCAGGAGGTTGGCTCCAGGAGGCCCTGCCATCCTGCGGTGGCCCGAGGGCACTGACAGGAGCCTCCAGCGAAGCTGGGTCCCAGCCCTAAATGGAGCCCTCCCACCCATGGGACCCTGAAGCTCTTGGCTCCTGCCATCAACTGGGGCAACTCTGGCTCTGTGGGGATACCAGGCATCCATCCATCCATTCATTCATTCACTCACTTATTCATTCACTCACTCATTTATTCACAAACACCCCAGAGTCGCCCTAGGGCCAAGCAGCCTGGGCTTACACCGGGTAAGTGGATTTCCTGGGTGACAGAGGATACTGACCTAATTAGTCACCCCACCCAGGCCAAGGGGTCTGGGGGGCCCAGAGGAACCTCCCTGAGCTGCACGGACATCCCTGGGTACGGCTGGAGGAGACGAGCTGAGCCCTCCGGCGACGGTGGAGGGGAACCCAAAGGGGCCTTCGAAGCTCTGCCAGCCCCTGTGGTGGGCGGTGGAGGGGAAGGTGGCTGTGGAGAGGGGGCCACATGGGGTCCATCTTGGTCAGCAAATTATCCCTGTTCTGGCTGCCCCCTGTGCTGGGGCAGAGGGGGACATGGTTCCCGAGACCCAGCTGCCTGCATTTAAGGATCTGGCACGAGGATTCCTGTGCTGGGTGTTCCCACGTGGGGCCTGGGCCTGGGATGGCCCAGCTCTCTGATAGAACGCACATGGGGAGCTGGCCCGGCACCTCGGCCTGTGAACAGGGGAGGGGAGGAGCCTGGCCCCATTCTCCTACCTGCCCCTCCCTCCCAACCCCAACAGGTCTGCCCTCTCTGGAAGCATCGCTCAGCCCAGTATGGATTTCCTGTCTGGGAGGAGGCCGCTGGGCAGCACGCAGGGGCTGAACGGACTGCAGGCCCCAGGATGTTTTTCTGTTGTGGTGTGGGGAGGGCGAGTGGCCTGAGCTGTCAGAGCCCAGGCTCCCTCCTGCATGTGGTCCGGAGCGCCTCGCCTGTTGGGGCACCGGGCCTGGCCCTATGATGCCAGCAGTTCTCCATCCCAGACACCTCCCCTGGGCTGGGGCCCCCTGCCCATGCCCCAGGGCAACACCCCAAGGCCCTTTCCTAAGGACAAGGACATGATTACTGAGCTCAGTGCACATGTGACCTCGCGTAGGGGACAGTGTGGTGGCAATGGGCCCAGAGAGGGGTCACTGGCCATTCAGCGTCAATAGCCAGGCCCCTGGGAGAAGCGTACACTCTGGTCCTTAACCCCCCACTGCACTGGGTGGGGGCCTCAGGGCCCGGGTGCCAACAGGGGGACACCTATGTGGGGAAGGGGAAGGCAGCAGGTGGAGACCAAGGTGGGATGTGAGCTCAGGAGAGTGGATGCCGTGACCTCACAGGCACACGCGTACCCCCTCATGTCAGCATGTTTACAGACACATGTGTTCCCAGGCACATGTGCCCCCTCCACGTCAGCATGTTCACAGGCATATACAGAACTGGCTCGGGGGCCAGTTGCTGCAGCGATCATTGGTCCCTGGTAGCTGGGCCTGGCTCACCCTCTCCAAAGTCAAAGAACTGTGGCAGCTGGAGCTCTGGGAGGGGCACCGAGCCCCCCTCCCCCCTGTGCTCCCGGGAGCTGCCTGGAGTTCTTTCCTGCAGGAGCCCTGGGACGTGTGGTTCCAGAGGACAGGCATGCCCAGGCCTCTGCAAGCCCCATGTCCCCAGACCCGCCGGCATAGCATCACGGGTGGGATGAAGATGGAGGAGGAGGAAGTGGGAGATGCGGCCTGGTGCCCCGCTGTTATTGGAAGATGGGGAATAAGACGCCAGGCCTAGTTGGGGTCCCATGAGGGGCTCGGGGACCCAGCCCAGGCTTGGGCAGGATCCATCATTCCCTGGCCCTGGGGCGACTGGGCTGCCATGCTGTGGGGCGGATCCAGATGAAGGCCAGCTGGGGGGTGTGGGACTCCAAGGTGTAAGCCCCCAGCCGCTCAGAGAAGAACGACTCTGCTGTTAAAACAATTTATTTTGCTGTCCAAGAAACGAACAGCTGTTTACCGTCAGTGGGTCTGAGCCACTCCCTGGGAGGCAATGGTGCTGCATTCGCCCTCCTCCAGGCTTCCTGTGTGAGGAAGGGCCTGGCAGGCCTTGGGTCAGGGTGGGCAGGGGACGCCATCAGGGACTGGGCCATGTCTCCTGGCCACTTCCATGACCCTGAGGCTTCTCTGACCTGCCTGGTCCACATCCCCTCGGCTACTGTCACAGGTGGTCACCAAGGCCTCTGGGCTCCATCCTGGGACATTGCAGGGACAATGGAGACCAGCAGCACCCTGAGGACCCGGGGGAGCACACGTGGTAAACTCCAGGGGCCGGGACCGCAGTGTAGTCAGGAAGAGGAGGGGGCCCTGCTGAGTGGTGCTGTGAGCACAGGCCGAGGGAAGGGGTGTACCCGGAGAGACTGCATGGAGGGGAGGGAGGGTCCAGCAAGGGGGAAGTTCCTGGGGTGGGTCTGCCGACCTGTGTCCCGTGAGGCACGTGACCCGAGAGCATGCTGCCCACAAGCGGCCATCCCTGCCGGGCACCTGGGGGACGCTCCTAGGGCCTTTGACTCCCTGGCCACATCCCCGATGGCCCCACAGGACCCAGGCCAGTGCCGCAGTCCCATAGCCCATGGCAGCACCGGGTCAGGGGCTTTGTCCCCAGTCTCTTCCGCACCTTGCTGTGGGCCACCTGCCCCCACGCCCAGCTCCGGGCTCTCAGGAGGCCCCAGGCTAGGACTCGGCCAGGGGTGGATGCTCGAAGCTGGGCACCTCCCCCCGCCCCCCCACCGGCCGGCCCCTCCTGCATGTCCCACAGCTCAGGGAAGTGACTGCCCTTGGGGGCTCAGTTTGCTGGAGTCTCAGCAGCAGTTCTAATTTTAATGCCGATGGACTGTGAACAACACCCCACACAGCCGGGAAGCGTGTGTGAGCAGCAGAGCGGGGATGGGGCTGTGGGGCCTCGGCTTCCGGAGCCTCTGGGAACAGGACCCTCCAGGCAAACCCTCCCTCCCTGACCTGGGTGCAGGGCCAGGGGAGGAGGTCGATGCTGTAGCCAAGCATGTCAAACTCAGGCCGCATGCCTCCCAAGCCTGAGGGAGCCTTCTTGGACCAGCCCAGATGGAGGCTGTGGGGTGGGCCCTCACACCCACCTCTGTGCCCCAGTGCTGAACACCAGGGAGTGCCGGCGTGGGCCTGAGCGGTGCTGTCCAAGGCTGGCTGCTCAGAAATCCATTCTCGGGCAGCTCGGTGCCGTGTCAGGAGCCCGGGTCCCAGGAGCTGGAGCCCATCCGTGCATGTGCTGCCGGCCACTTGCTGTGGGTTTTGTGGAGACAGGAGGAGGCCTTCGGTGAGGGGACACAGAGTGAGGGCGGGCAGCCCCAAACACATGAACCCCAGAAGAGAACAAATCGCCGAAACCACAGCCCTGAGAGCTGACACGCTGGGCGCTGTGTGGGCGCTGTGTTTGGAGCTCCCTCTGTGACTGCACACACATGTGGGTGCGCGGCAGCCCATGCGTGCGCGAGGTTCGTGAATGAGTAGCTGGCCCCTGCTGGGTACTCAGAAGCTGAGTGCCTTCTCATGCTAAGTGCGGTCTCTCGGAAAGTGGGCTGAGGAGGGCGGGCCTGGGGCCTTCCCTGCGGGCATTGCTCTGCCTCTCGCCATTACTCCATTTCAAAGAAGAGGAAACGGAGGCCTGGGGAGGGGAGGTGACCCCCAGGGCCCCCCAGCAGCAGGAGGCCAGCCCCCCAGCTCACTCTCGCTGGCCCTCCATGCCGCCCTGGAGCCCTTATCTGTAGTTTGCCCAGCTACAAAACCATGGTGTTTATTCCTGGCTGTGCTTGCTTAATTCCTTCCATTTGGGGCGCAGCATTGTGGGGTTCGTGTCCCAAATGTGCCCAATCAAAGAAGTCACCCGGGGCACTTGCTGAGCCCCCGAGCCCCCAGACTTGCTGACCGGCTCTCCAGCGAGGGGCCCAGCTCTGCATTTTAAACAAGAACCAGGGAGCTCCGGGGGCGGCTGCTGGGAGAAGGTTTGTGGAGGGAGATGGGCTCTGCAGTCCCACACAGGCTCCGTCTCGGCTCTCGCGAGGAGGTGGGATGAGAGTGGATCCTGGGTCTCCTGGTGTCCTGCTGCCCAGGCTGGACACCCCGCTAGACTCGGCCCAGGGCTGACCTGACCCGAGCTGGGCTCGGAGTGTCCCTGAGTCTCGGAAAGGTATCTGGGCCCTGGACCGAGCCCTGACCCGAGCAGGGCAGGTCCAGGCAGCCTCAGCGGCCCGGCTGTCCCCATCACACCTAGGATCTTCGCCCCGCCCCGAATTTCTGCTGCGTGGCTCCCGGGAGACCTGGAGCTATTTTGGCTGCACCAGCCTTTCCACTCGGCCAGGCTTCAGTGAGCAAAGATTGTGCCGATGTTAACAGAACCGGCACGGGGGCCTGTGTGGCACTCTGTCAGGGAGAAGGCCCAATTAGGAGGGGAAGTGGGGGTGGGGCGGGCCGATGGAGTACAGGGGAGCCCTTGGGCCCAGCCCACGCGGGAAGCCACACGCAGCCGCAGGCCACCAGCACAAGCAGGTGGACTTACTGCAATGCAGTGACAATGCTGGGCTGTCCACTGGGTGCCCCGCCTACCGGACCCCTAAGCTGGTGTGTCTGGTGGCAATCTGGGGGCAGGACTCGGGCGCAGAGACACCAGCCAGGGGCAGAGGGGCGGTGGAGGGAGGGCACAGTGCCCTCAGGCAGGACACAGGAGCACATGCGTCCACTGTGAGGGGCTGGCGGCTGGAGTCCCCTCCCACCCACTCATCCAGGCGAGCAGATCCCGGGAAAGCGCCCCGTGAGTGCAAACCTCTCAGAAGCTAAGTGCCTTCTCATTTTGCTCCCTGCTGCTCTGGGTCAGCTCCCCTTCACGGCGGCAGGCCGCCAGCACACCAGCCGGCCTCAGCGACACAGCACTAATTGGGGCATTTCCTGGCTAAATGAACAGCGGCCACAGCATCCAGCCTGGACTGCACCTGGACTCGGGCCGTAGGGCACCCTCCCTGGCACCGAGGGCAGGCGCGCAGCGGTGCGGCTGGCGTGGTGATGTGGATGTGTTGGGAATGGGAAGGACAGGCTGCTGAGACCCCAGAGCTCAGCACTCAGTGGTGCCCCTGGCTAGCCCTTCCCCCTCCTCCCTCCATCCCCCTTCCACAGGCCCTGGCGGCCTTCCCTGGCATAGATGCTAGAGGGGTCCACCAAGGAGCTCCCCATGGTCTGTGAACCCCAAAGTGACAAGGCCTGCTTCACCCTGCAGAGGGCCCCAGCCACACGGCCATGATCCGTCCCATGGAGACACCCACCCCCGATGCGGCGCCTTTCCCCACGTGTCACCCATAGGCAACCCCATTTGTGTGCTCAGCTCAGCTCCTGCTGAGGGTGCTCATCCCCCTGCCCGCCCCCCCCCTCTGCTGGGCCCACCCTGCCAGCCCTCAAGTTCTGACGGGGGACCCAGGAGGAGGGGGTTGAGCTGCTGCATCAGGATTGAGGACCACCCACCTTCAGAGCCACAGCAGTGGGGGTCCTGATGGGGGGGAGGGGGAGGAGGGTGTGTGAGGCCCCAAGAGCCGAGATCCTGTGTGGGAAAGGCTAGTTGTTAATTGGTTTTTGCAGAACGAGCCTAATGGGCTGGGAAAATTGCAAAAGTCTTTGTGTGCTGTTAACCCGCATGAGGGGAGCAGGTTTGGGGGGGTGTCCTCACCCTTCGGGCATGTCTGTTCCTAACAGATGAGGGTCCACGCAGGCAGGACAGGGCTGACGCTGTCTATATCCCCCACCTGGGCCCCTGAACAGACCAGACCCGCAGTTGGGTGGGGCCGCAGGCTCTCTGGGCGGGGTCGGAATTCAGGCAACAGCACCACCCTGGTTGGTCCCACCAAGTCAGGCCTGGCCCCGGGCCAGTGTGTGCCTCTGCAGGCCTGGGGGTGGTCCAAGACTAGAAGGGGGCGTATCCTGAATGATACTGACCTGGGACAGGAGAACCATCACCCCCACCCCAGGATCTGATGGAGGGAGTGGAGCCCGTGGAGAGGAAGGGCAGGGGACGCGCTGTTGGATGGACTGAGTGGTGGGAGATGGATGGACAGTCAGATGGGAGGCACGGACTGGGGCTCAGGTGGCAGAGGGGAGACAGGCGAAGGCCCCGGGGATGGAGGGGGAGGACTGGCAGGTGAAAGCTTCCAGGTGGGCAGCTGTGGCTATAGCTGCTCCCGGTTGGCAAAGGGAGGGCTCGATCATGAGTTGGCCCCCGTCACCCCCGATTAGTTCTCGGGGCCCCCAGTCATCCCTGGGCTGAGCCTCAAGCTCCCGAGGCCCTGAGACCCTCTTCCCTCATCTGATTCTGTGACTGCCTTCCTGAAGCCCCTGAGCTCAGGAGGCTGCCCACCCCCCTCCACACACACACACTCACACACACACCCCTGTGCTTTGGCTCTCTCGCTCCTCCATCATTTTTCAAAAATAACTGTGTGGCATCCGCTGCCCCGCCCCCGGGCGGCTGCCTCCCAGGTTGGCCTTGCCGAGCTGTGAGTGTCGAGGTGTTTCCCGTGCAAGGTCTTCATCGTTCCCTAATTGTTCACATTAATTCTTCTCCCTCCTTGGTGAGCGTCCCTTGAAGCCTCGCCCGTGTCTCCCCTTTGCTGCATCAAAATGAGGCTGCTGTGCTCCCTGGGATGGGGCTGCGTCCCCCGTCCCCCCCACCTTGGCCAGCCTGAGATGGATGTTCCTTTAGTGCCCATAAATCTCGGCACTGCCTCTGGGAAGACAGCTCGGAGGCCTCCTGTCCCGGAGTTTGCCGGCAGCGGGTTTAATTAGCCCTCCCGGCAGAGGGGTGGGCTGGGGAAGGGGCCCCCCAAGGCCCACCTGCTTTGTCTAGAGCAGCGGTTCTCACCTTGTGGGTCGCGACCCCTTTGGCGGTCGAACGCCCCTTTCACAGGGGTCGCCTAAGACCATCCTGCATATCAGATATTTACATGACGATTCATAACAGTAGCAACATTACAGTTATGAAGTAGCAACGAAAATAATTTTATGGTTGGGTCACAACATGAGGAACTGTATTTAAAGGGCCAGAAGGTTGAGAACCTCTGGTCTAGAGGAACCACGGCTGGGCCTGCAAGAACCACCGACTGCTCCTCCCTCGCGCATCCATGTGCATGGATTCAACAAGCCAGGCTACATAACAGGCCTCCCACGCTCAGTCCCAGGCGGGCTCCTTTCTTGCCCAGTGGCCAAGGGCGTGATGCCCGGAGCCCGAGCAGCGCCCTGCCAGCCCCCGAGAAGGAGGCCCATTCATCTTACCCACTGCGCTAATAAATGCATGGTGAGCCGGTGGGTGCCAGAAGGAGTGGCGCCCGTCCCGCCCCCACCTGGCCCCGAGAATGAAGACTCCTCCACCCAGCCCAGCCACACAGCTTGAAGCAAACACGCTCCCGCAAAGAGGACAGGACCCCCCTGGAGCTGGGAATCCCTGCCGCTGGCCGCAGATGCTGGCTGTGAGTCCCGTCCAACCCCCGCCCGCCCCCCGGGGTCAGCAGGGCCCTGCCAGTCCGGCTGTGCATTTGGCCGCAGGAATGAAAGAAATGCTGTGAGCAACGCTTAGGACAGCGGAAGGGAGGTGAGGGCTTCCAGAATGAGCCCCAATGACCCCTGTGTGAGGTGTGCTCAGGTGGCCCAGGCTGGAACCACTACTCGCTGCATGGCCTTGGGGACTCCCTTAACCTGTTGGGCCTGGGATTCCAAGTGCGCGGTTGGTGCCTGGGTCCGAGGACTGAGAAGACACACCCGCTGGACATGGGTCGACTGGAAGGAGGAACGGCCTTGAGATAGAGCAGCAGGGTGTCCGGTCTGGCCTCTCCCTGGCCATCTCTCCAGTCTTTGAGCCCCTCCAGCACTGGCCTCAAGCTAGGCCCTCTCACAGTGGCTCTGTCAGCTGCAGGGGCTCCTTCCACGAGGGCTCACTCATTCCTCCTGACAGGAGGGAAAACTGGGGACCCCCAGATGCGGTAACCTGCCCCAGCCACAACTTGACTCCAGGCTCCCCCAAGCCCTGTGTGCTGCGGCTCCATTCTGTGACTGCCCCGCTGGGTGGGAATCAGCCTGGGGTGGTGGTGGTCAGGGAGGGCTTCCTGGAGGAGGGGTCATGTCAGAGCTGAATGATGAAGCGGAGGGTACTGAGAATCCCACGGCATTCTGTCTGGGAGCGCAGGGAGGCAGCAGTGGGAGGATGGAGCAGGACCCCCAAGACCCCCAGGATTCCAGCCTGACTACATAGCGAGGGTCAAAGCCAGAATGCTGGTGGCCAGTGGCTCCTACACTCTCCCCCTGGGGCTGCCCAGGCTTCAAGGGGGGACCCTGCCAAGCCTGTGGGCTGTGCACAGGGGCCAGGCCTACCATCCAGGGCTCCAGGGAAGCCCCAGCCCAGCACTTGGTGGGGAATGACAAGCAGGACCACCAGCAAGGCCTCCTAGTGAGACAGGTCATGACAGCGTGGTCACGTGTCTACGATGGCTCAGTGCACCATGTGCTGAATGGATGGCATTCCTGGGCCCCTCCCGGGCTGATTGGCATCAGAGAGATTGATGTCCAGGGCCATGTGATGTCCAGGGCCATGGGGACGCTGAGGCATGGCGAGGGGGCACGTGCCGGCCCACAGCACCTGCTGGGGGTGATGTGTCTGAACAAGTGGCCTCAGGTAGGTCCAATCCTGCCCAGATAAGTCGCCTCCACACCCCTTGGCCTCAGTGTCCTCGTCTGCACACGGACGGTGTCCGCAGCCTCTTCCCCTCGGACATGAATGAGGGAGGGTGTGGGAGACGCTCACCCCACGCCAGGTGGCCGAGAGCTGGGCAGGGCTGGCGACCGGGACAGGTGCCCTGGCTGTGAGGGAGGCCTCTGCCTGGCTGCCCGGGGCCCCAGCTCATTGAACAAATTAACACATTTCCATCAACCTGTTCCCGGCATGTTCTCAGTCTCCCTGGACATCAGTTCACCATCCGCCACTCAGCATTCTACTGCTTCTATTATTTCAAAACGAGTATAAGGATTAAAAACCAATTATTTCAATTACTGTGCAGAGCCCCGGCGGCCAGTTAAATGGGGTAGGTACTCCCCTAGGAGGGCCTGGGCCAACCCTGCAGCCCCCCCCCCCCCCCCCGCAGGCAGCACCCGGTGGCCCCAGGACCCCTCCAACCTCAGAGGCCTGCAGCGAAGTGACCCTCCGAGCCCAGGGCCTTGAGAAGGCCGCCCGTTCGCCCCATTCACCTACTTCGAGCCCCGGCTTGAGGTGTCAGCCTCCGCTGATGGTGTTTAGCAGCCCTAACCTGGGGGCCTGGGCGTGAGGACAGGCCTGTGAGCCGTGAAGGATTCTGTCTGCAGGCTGTCCTGTGGTTGGCCTGGCATCCTTGGATGGGGGCCAGGAGCATCCGCGGTAAACCAGCAGCTGGCGTCGGGGGAGGTCGACACGCTCAGCCCACGTCTCCGGGCTTTAATTAGCTTCCTGCACAGGTCTCAGGGTCCAGGAGACAGAGGCCGAACGTTAACCGCCGCCCCACCCGCCGGCCCCGTCCATCAGGCGTGATCTCAACGAGCCAGCCGGGCCAGTGAGTGGTCAGGGTCGGGGTGGGGGCAGGCGGGCGCTGAATCCGCTGCCCCGGGGCCCAGCACTCCCGCCCCTCCCCGCCCCTCGCCAGCACTGGCTGTTGGTGATCTCATCTCTTCCTGGGCTGTAAATATCACCCAAATGCTCCAGACTCCCAAATTGTCCTCCAGCCCGGGCCCCCTCTCCTGAGCTCAGCCCGCACAGCCTACGCTACACCCCCGACCAGATGTCTCCTGGGCCTCGGCAACGAGGGAGGCCGCTCCTCCCTGCATCCCACCTCAGGGACGGGTGCCCCACGCCGGATGCTCGGGACAGACGCTGGAAGCCTGCCCACTGCCTCCACCTTTCGCTGGGTCTAACTCCGACTTGCCCACGTTCCCCCTCATCCCCCGACCCCTCCCTCTGCCAGCCTGGCCAGACGGCGCACCCCTTGCCTCCACTGAGCAAGCCCCACTGCACACAAAGCAGCCGGAGGAACTTCTCAGGAAATCAGATCCCACCCTTGCCGTCTTAGGACACAGTCGCCAAAGCCTCAGGGACCCTGTGCACCGGCCCCAGGTCCACCTGGGCCCAGACATCCACCTGCGTCACCTTCAGTAGAACCGGTGGGCCCCTTGTTCCCATCCCTCACTGTGGCCTCGGTTTCTCCCTCCTTGGGGAGGGGAGGGTGCCCCCAAAGGATGGGCTGGGAGGACATGTGGCTGGGAGGCACGGCCCAGCGAAGGAAGCCTGCAGCTTCCTGAGGTTCAGGCAGCCGGTGAGAGGCACCGGGGGCCTTAGGGGTGTCCTGAAGGGGGCAGGTGTCTCTCAGTGAGGAGCAGGCTCAACGGAGGGAGTGGACTTATCTTGGGAAGCCTGTAAGCTGAGGAGCCCAGGTGGGCCTCAAAGCCTTTTGCCAATGGGTGTTTGTGGTTTCCTGGCTGCCAGGAAGGTAGTGGGAGACCTGGGGCTGCCATGCCCTTCCAGAGCCCCGCAGCCTCAACCTGGAATTCTACCCGCTCCCCATCCCTAGCAGTTTGGCTGCATCTCCTTGGGCACGCCAGGGGCTGCTCGGGAGAAAAGTGGATCAAGAAACTCCTGCTCATGCACCCCCTGCCCACTCATGCCCAGGCCCAGGCTGGCAGACTCCCGGCTGTGCAGTCACAGGGACCGGGTGCCAGGGAGTGCTGATGGTGGGCCGCCAGGCACAGGCCTGAGGCTGCCCAGCACATTGACACCAGAGTCCACAGAGCTGCCTCTTCGGAGGCTATGGAGGGGGACGCTGGGGTTTCCTGGGCCCAGAGGGGCTGGGGTAGGAGCCCGTGTAGGGCCTGAGCTGCCCCTTCTGAGCCCAGAGCCAGGCGTCGGGTCTTGGAGCTGGGATGTGCCAGGGTCCACTGTGCAAAGGGGCAGCCTGCCAGGCCCACACAGAGGTGGGCAGCGCCAGTGCGCCCAAGTCCAGGGTCTCCTGGAAGAAGAGATGGGGCGTGTGGGAAACCTGGCTGAGGAGGGGTGAGGGCCAGACAGGAGAGGCAGGGGGCCTCCCCCACAGTACCCAGTACTGCTCTGGGCAGCGGGGAAAGGGTCTGAGCCCCACCGAGGGACAGTGGAGCTGGGCACGTTGCTGAGCACGTCCTCCCCTCCTCTCCCTCCCTCCCTTGGGCTTCCTTAGCCCCCGCGGCCTGCATGGCCATCTGGCTCCACCAGCAACACACCCCTTACTCCCTCCCCCAATCAGTGTTTTCCTTCTCCTGCTCCCCCGGCCCCTGCCCAGGAGGACGGGTAGCCTCCACCACGTGTCCACTTTCCCTTTTGTTTCTGAGCCCTTACCACACAGGCCTGGAGGAAACGTGCGTGTGCATATTTTTGCCTGCGCTGTTTGCATGCATGTGTGTGTGTGTGTACACATGCGGGCCCTGCCCTGCCTGTGCGTGTGTGTGTGTGTGTGTTATGTGCGCATATATAGGGTATCCCAAAATTCACGCAAGATTTGAATTTTGCATGAGCATTAACAACAACAACAACAAAAAATAAAAGCCTAATTTTACTTGGTTTATTGAATCAGATTCTAATATCTGTTGCCCTTTGATTTCAATCCCTTCAATTTGATAAGCATTACCAAGTACCAATTATGGCCCAGGAGCAGGGACAATGAAGACCAATGAAGACCACGGCTTTGCGTATGTGCCAGCAAAGCC